ACCCCATTAGACTTTTTTTTATGGGGATATGTGAAAAGTGCTGTTTATGATGCTGGGCCCGTGCATTCGGTTGAGGTCCTCCGTCAACGCATCATTGATGCTTTCCAAAACATAAGAACCACTCCTGGGATTTTAGAACGTGTTCGACGTTCTATGCAAAGAAGAATGGAAAGTTGTATAGCAGCAAGGGGGGGACATTTTCAACATTTATTATGAGATTAATGATTATTTAATTACCCAATAAAGTTAGTTTGATATTGTGAAAGTACCCCCCTTTCGTTGATTACGATTTCCTGGCAAACGGTTAGTTGTATGACGAAAATGCAAGACACCGAATTCTCAGTTTTTTTTATGGCCAATAAGATTATGCTATTCGAATTCATAGTTTCTCTTTTTGAACATAAAAATTGGGCCAATAAAAGTGTGGACCCCCCTCCAACTCCCGCAAAACTGGGTTTACATAATTTTTGGAGCAAAAAAAGAATAGAGTGCCTAAAAAAACAGGGGTATGCCAATTTTCAGAAGATTCGATTCGTTATTATAGTCACAGTTTTAGATAATCTTGTTTTTTTTCCCAACTTACAGGGGCTGTAGCTTGGAGGGGGTGCATTTTAGGACACATGTTGATTTGAAGAAAAAGTCTTATTTTGATCCCAACAATACGCCCTTGAAATATTTACATCGAATTTTGAATCACCCTGTATACTTCCACGGGAAATGTTCTTTAGAAATCTCTTTTATCATTTCATCACAAGCAATACCAGTCAGAGGAACTCGACAAGTCCACACAAAATATGTCGAACGGCACTTCATCAGAATTCTTTTGTTCATAAAACGCGAAAGTTCCAAGAGATTAATGAAATTCAGTGCACTAGAATTCAGACTTCAGAATGAATTGCAATACCAACCATCCCTATCCTCCCTAGGTATCTTCAAACGTTATAGGGATTCCCTTTCGTTCGCTCAAAGCGATAAAACAATACATCTATCATCGGTTGTTCCGAGATGGTTTCACAAGCTTTCTAGAGCAGGCGGTACCCACTTTGGCCCCCTCTGATGCGACGCCTATGCCGGCGGTCTGTGCGTATGAGATGCAGTCACCATGGTCGGCTCGCATTCACGCCGAATTACACCGAGGAATGACGGGCGAATATGGGAATTTATCGAAGGAGATTTGCATGGCCGGTGACCACACGCATTTCTGTGTCCGAAAACGGGATTACGCCGACCAGGACGACAATGGGCCTTCAATCCCGCATTTCGTAGACCGAGTAGCCAACTCTTCACACCCATACTGCTATTGTAGTGTAGTGACAAACTTGTAGGAATATTTACGTCGTAAGTTGTGGTCAAGCATTCACTAATATTCTGAACGTATTTGCGTGTGTGGTCGAAGAATCACAAAACAAATTGATCACTATCAACTGACATTTAATTGAAACCCTCAATTGAATGTCAGTATGCCTAGAGATTATTTCAAAAATTGAAAAAAGGATATGCGAGCCGTTTCGATCAATGATGAATAATACTGAAACAAAACATCACAAAGTTGAAAAATCTCAATTTTGAACACCCTATACCTATCTCTGTAAGCATTCCCGCTAAACTAAGTGTGATCGATTGATGAAATCTGCTCTTGAGGAATAATGTGCAAATGCATGCAATAATATACAGGGTGTTCCATTTGAAAAAGCGGTCCAACCGGAAGTGACAGCACAGAATAATCAGCAATGTATTCTGTGGTGACAGCTAATTGAAATTATTTCAGAAAAATAGATCACATATTACGCAATGGCTGTACCTACCCAGACAGCACCAGATATTCCATGAATCTCCCTATCATATTCCTTTTGGAATATTGGAATATTCTAGAAATAATCTGGAATATTCCGGAATATCTGTGGAATATTCTCTAAATATGCGAATGGGAATTCCTCAGATAATCATAGAATATACCCAAAAGAATATTCTATGTTGAATGTTCCTGGAATATTCCGATAAACATATTCTAAAATTAAAAAAAGTGACCCAAGTAGGGATCGAACTCGTGACCTCGAGACTATCAGAGCAACGCCTTGACCACTAGGCCAGTAACCGAATTGAATAATGTTATACATATCAAGTTCTTGTGAGAGCATTGTTCGAAATCGGATCATAAACACTTTTTGTTTCAAAATCCCCTTACATCTAATTGATGTTCGATACTCACATCTCTGAAATAATAAATGGTATTTATGTGTTGAGAAACATAGGAATATTCATGGAATATTTCATGAATATACACCACAGAATATTCAGTTGGGAATATTTCATGAATATACCGCACAGAATATTCAGTTGGGTATATTTCATGAATATACCGCACAGAATATTCAGTTGGGTATATTTCATGAATCTACAACAGAGAATATTCAGTTGAGAATATTCCTGGAAGATTCATACCTGAATATTCCCTGAACATGTCCGACTATTCACTTTGGAATATTCCTTTTAGATGATCCAGAGGCATGTATATATTCTAGGAATAATCGATGAATATTCGGAATATACTCCTCCTTTTTAGCATATTTAGAGAATATTCTATGAATATCCAGTGCTGTCTGGGTACACAACATTTCATAATGCTCCTGGGATGTCTCTTTCGGTTTTCTCAGCGTAGGTATGTATACAGGGTGTTTGGTTCACCGACGAATATCTGAAAGGGCGTGATAGTTGAGAACATTTCGAACATATTTTACCATACATATACTATTATACAAAGTGTTTCAAATTTCGAGGTATCATCGTTCTTTCAAACATTTTATCTGATTAAATCTCTTTTTTCTTAGAAAATTGAATACGCATTTCATCGATTCTGAACACGAAATGGGATCTGATGTGATAAAAACATTTTTTGACTCGTAAGAATTCAAAGGACTATTTTTGTAACATCCAATTTCGAATTTATAAGGTATGATTTCTCGAAAAGTGTACCACTTTGTATGATAGTATATATGGTCAAGTTTGTTCAAAATCACATAACATACCACCTCCTTCCGTATATACGTCGGTGAACCAAACACCCTGTATAATAAACAGCGTACATACATAGAACATCTAATAAAGAAGTAAGGTGAATGACTCTGTAGATCACTAGGAATAAGTTAGACATCTCGTGTTTTTGTGTTGTCAGCAATCACTGTTCAATTTAGTTCCACCTCAGTCAATAATAGTGAGTTTGAAGAAGGAATAAAAAGCCGAGCAGATTTTGCTCAAATTATTTACGGTCTAATTAACAAACGATTTTGGGATGAATTGAGTAACTTCTGAAAGCCTGTTTTATAGACATTTGAACCAAAAAGCCGAAATGCCTCAGGATGAGTTCCCAATGCAGCTTTTTTGCTTTACGCGTCACGCCCTATGATTGGTGACGCGTAAATGAGAATTGCTGCACTGTTTCTGATTATTTATTTCAGTTCCCAATTAAATTACCTATCCTTGTCGATGTGGTCGAAGTTTGCATTGAAAAATCATAAGAATATCTGAAAATACTGAAAATATAGGATAATGCTTGCAAGATATACAGAGCTGCATCAGATAAGTAATTCATCAAAAAAAACGGAAATATTTTAGTGAAGATGAGATAATCAGGTAGGTACATACCTATTTTAGGGATACTGCAATGATTCACTCATCATGAGATCACTTTCTGAAATGAGGGTTCGATGAAGTTGCATTCAAAATTTCTACATTTTCATGAAAAATCTTGTGTTGAAAGAATTCATATTACTTTGATGGATATTGAGGTTTCTGGAACATAACCTCAACGCCACACAAAGCAGCAACGCCTAAAAGTTCAAATAAATATTTCAACTTCATCGTCAAATATTTTTCAAATTCACCGTCACCAATCAGGTTGCATGACACGTGACGCGTAAAGCGAAGACGCTGCATTTGGAACTCACTTTTATTCTCGAGGTGAAGTGAATATAGAATCGAGCAGAAATCGAGTGACAAGCGTCTAGCTACACCATTTTCTTCGTTGGCTCTCTGGAGTCTCGCGTATACGTGAATGACATGACGCGGTATCTGCGAGATGCTATTCCTCGTGCAATTCTCTCTTCATTAAAATTTTTCTGAAGTGAGTGAATGGTACAGCAAGCTGTGGGTCTGACTGCCATGCCTGCGACTTTTGGATCAATCCCTGGTGAATTTTGTTTGCTCTTTCAAGTAATTTTGCGAAAAGGTGAAAAACGTCCAAACCTATATGTAGTTTATTGCGGGATCATTAAGATTTTTAGAACTTCTGATTTTACTGTTTATTATTTCTGGCAAAAAAACTACGAAACCACATAGAAATAAAATGTCGCTCCTTCATATGACGGTGACTTTTTTACATGTTTATTGGTCCAATTAATAATCATTCTACTTCCTAGACGTAAATCTCATCATGAGCTTAGAATTCCGATTGTATAACAATTATATTAGCAATGGATGATCCGTACAAACATAGACAACTGAAAAATGAAAGAGAATAATTATGGGAAAAACGAAATCTTCAAAAATTAAAATCCATTGAAATGGGGTATACTTGATAAATTAAATGAAGGAAGTTCAGGATGAGATACTCGACTGATAACATTTACATATTCTATTTTTATTTTCTTATACATTCCTGTATTTGCCTGTGGGTGCACTGCATCCATCATGGGCAACGCTTGCATGGGCGCAATGGCTATGATGCCATGATGCCCCCATGTACTCGCAGCCCCTGCTTTCTTATATAGGAAGGTTTTCTCTATTCTCATTTCACGTCTTCGGAATTCAGATAGCCACCGATGGGAATGGTACAGCTAGACGCTTGTAATCAAGTAAATCCACTTTTAGGTTTTCACTTTCTCGCCAAAGTGGTGTAGTAGTCACTCCCATTAAAACAAATCAAACATCAAAGTAGGTTAGGTTGTATGTTGTGTAGGTAGAGGCAATTAATTCAATGAACACTAGAATGTGCTATACTTTACCTTGTATCGTTAAAAATGATAGTTTGTTAGCTATGATGGATGTGAAGTCTTTGTGAACCATATTATCGATAGTATTTCTAACGAGAGAACTGGTTGGTATGCGTCCTATCCCAATAATACCCTTCAGAACGTTCATCTTGCCTACAATAATTAGAGTCAGTATACTTACAGTCATGTTATGATATTGCTTTACAAAAACAAACCAGTTGAATCTGTATAATAGGAACTTTTATATAAACTAGTAGAACTATTTTATTTGTAGGTTAAATTTCCTTGACAGCACGACGCGGACGCGCAAAACCAGCGTTGCCAAAGTGATATGTGAAATTTCCTCACATTATTGATCTGCTGTAATCCTTACATTTCCTGCGCTCTGATTTTGAAATTCCTCACATTCATAAAATTATAATTACAAGAAAATCATATGATAATTGGTTTTTTCTCTGTTATCTCATGAATTTTGGCGATATATCTGGACGTTGTCATAGGAATAGTTGATGAAAATATTGTTCAAATTAATTTTTTATGATAAAACATTGAGAAACATTGATTGATTCAATGAATTGATTGCCTCCAATTATCCGAAGAATCATCATCGACTTTTCCTGATTTGCGAGGACTTTGTAAACATCAAGAAGTCATTCATTGAATTTGGTATCAGTTATTGGTTCCAGGAATCAGTTTAGCTAGGTTCTAGATGGCGAGGTCGAAAGAATAGGGTGAATTTCCGAAACTTATTGATACAAAAAATATGAAATCAGAATGACTTGAGTTTGATGTAAAGATATGCTCTCTTGCTGTAGTATCTGAGGGTAAATGCGGTTGAAATATCCTCTTCAGCCCATACAACTCTCTTCTCTTTTTCTGAGAACAATTTTTGTTTATTTTAGTGAAAGGACTCCTGATAAAATTCCTTGTATTTTTTCTTAGTCTCTGATGGAGAGGGTGATACTTTTCTCTCAGATTTTCACTATTTCACTTGTGAGTACAAGCTTTTTATTCTCAACAGGCTATTTCTTTTGAACCTCATTGAGATTTTCGTTATTCTCTCTCATTTCGACCACTGCTTCACCTATTTCTTGTTCTTCTGTCACAACTTCGATTTGATTTTCAGTGGGTTCAGATGAGTTAATAATGTCTGAAGGCGAATGAAGATACGGCACTGAATCAGAAAATTGAAAATGTAATGTATCAATATCCAGAAAATTATTATACTTATCTCTTTCATAATCATCTGATGTGAAATGAATCGAACATATTTGTATTTGTATTTGCAATGAATGTATCAGTTTTTCCACACATTTGAATCCATTTGTCACTCATTATTTTGTCTTTCGGAAAGGCATGGTAAACAGTGCCCTCCGTTTTTGTGCTTTTATTCTCACCAGAAGAAAACAACGTCCACCACCTTTCCATATGTTCTGAAATTCGAAAGAAAATAAGGGTGAGTTATTGGAAATAATATGTGATGAAATACTACCATACAGTACCTACTTACTTATTAAATGTTTATTCATGATAGATAATTCTCTTCTCTTTAGGTAAGTACATATAAAATTATCTTAGCCGCCAAAAGATTTCGAATTACTTTAGAATTCAAATATTCAAAAATCGCACATCGTACATGACAGAAAACACGAAACTGAAAACAGTTTTCCTGTCAGCCAAAAAACACTTTATTCACGCCGTGCACCGATGAACGATTGTGTGGTGAGCGACATGACGTCAAATATATGAGCCTTAAAACCGTATAATGAAGGATAGGGGATGAACCATCCTGTTGAGGGTTAATCGTTCTTGTATCTGCAACACATCGATTCTTCATGTACAGGGTGTCCCAAAATTGGTGGGACATACAGCTATCAAGTGTGAAACAGTTCAAAAGAGGTTTATAGGACCCAACCCATTCATATGAAGAATTGTACCGTTTGTCCGTGGGACGAGTTCAAAATTTACATACATTTACTAATATTTTTGTGCGCACTGTTCAAAAATGAGTGAAACAATTTGGATGAACTTTGACAAAAGTGCATTTCAGAGGATAACCCTTCTTTCTTACAGTAATCAAAGAAACCTGAAAGGAATTGTAGAAGGGTTCAAACCATCTGTACCCCCCTGACATTTTTTTCAGACCATTCTTAGGGGTGGTAATTTCGGAAAGGAAACAGAAATCGGAAATACCAATGGATGGTACCTACGCATTTCTACATACATCATAGAGATGCGGCAACGTCTATAACAGGGCAGGCGCTGATCGATATCATCTGGATAAGGCTGAAGGTACGACCGGTCGGGATGATTTTCAATATTTTCATTACTAGTTAGTAGCATGCCACAAACATGCGACGTAGAGTTTGTACCAGAGCCAGAGATAAGTTATTGACTATAGGTGACGATTAGATGGCGATAATTTGATAAGATCCTCAAGCAGTTCTGGTGTTTTTAGTGAATATTAAATTGTATGATAACCAGTATGGGAATAAGAACATTAATATAAACGATATAAGGAACGATAATATGAGAAATGATTTTTTTCCATATTATAGATCGAAATAAAATTCCTAATTATAATAAAATTATTGTTCATTGGTATAACAGGGGCGCCGTATAGGGGCAAATATGCGGAGGGCTACAAAGTGAATGTTCCCGCGTATTATTCGATATCGATAAATTCGATATTTCATATATAGTATCATTCTGCGAAAAATATTACTTTGGCAAATACTTTCTAATCGAATTTACACAATGAAAGAAGAAGTTCTCTTGTCGTTTGCAAGATATCAAATATAGTATATTGAAAAATGGTATTGAATATGTGTAAAGTGCTTGCACTGTGAACACCCTCATATTTCGGACTACAATACACGATTCAGCTGTTATTTTTTTCAAAACTGTCCTTCCATCTACATCAGATAGTATATTTATATTAATTGAATTTTATAGCCTCCTGATGTCAGAATCACATTAGAAAAATCAGGAACCTTATTGGGCATTTTGTCTTTGACTGACTGCATATTCCATTCACCTACCCGGTCACGGAGTGTCATCAAAATAATGAACAGGGTGAAACAAATTAGACATTTTTGGGCAGAAAGTGAGGAAAATTCCATTTCGAATTCGAAAGATAGAGGAAAACTGAGATCAAGATTGGAGGATCAATTATCAATTTTCTCGTTGGAAAAAAACTGGTGTGCGTAGGACTACAAGTCGGGAGTTATTACATCTATGTCCGGTCATCAGTATTTCCAATGTTTTGGACAATACGGGGAAAATCTGAATGAAGTAATATTAATGTTTCCTATGTTATATCTCTACGTATTCCGGAAAAGGGTGAAATAGAACTGAAAATTTTGATGGATACATTTCAAGAATGAGAAATTAGAAACTGCATATTGTCAAAAGTACACCAAGAGAAATATTTATTAGCTGTTATACGAAACTGTATAATCATCAGAAGATTTCTAAATTGAATAGGCGTAATCAAGTTCATCATTTCAAAAAAATCATATAACCGTTAAACAACATATAAGAATGAAATTACGTTCATATAGGGGTCAAATAATTAGCATTTCAATATCAGATAGTGATATTATAAATATTATATGATACTCATATCAATATAATTTTCTTTCAATTTAATAGTCAAATGATTGGCATTTCAGTATTAGGGTGATACATTTTTGGTCCAGTAAAATTAAGTTGTTTGAAGATTGTCGAGGAATATCTACTTAGTATATATATTTACCCCCAAGTAGAGTGTTTTATTGAAACTTCAGGGCATTGAAGTGCATCACAAGGGCGAGATACTCAGTACAAAATATCTCAATTTGCCTATGATAAAAATGCTTCCAATTTGGAGTATTTGTTCTTCTTGTCACTACCTTGGATTATTTGTTTATATTGTTAGCCAAAAATTCACGCACTGTGGCGTCAGTAAATAACGGTTCACAAATCACGAAACGCAAACCAAAAGCTTCATATCTTCTATTGAATTGTTGGCTAGAAATCTTTTGAATTTTTAAGCAGCAAATGGAATAATTCGAATATACGAATCAAATAAAGCCAAGATATAAGGATAGCAAAACACAAGCTTTTGCCATTATAGTGAATAGTGAGCTGATTTGATAATACAAAACTTTATCCGAATTGGAAGAATTTTCGATGGGTACATTACCGATTTATCGTGAAAACACTATAACGCCATGATGCAGTTCCACCTACTGTAGTTCCATAACAAATCCTATACTCGGGGGTTTTAGAAAAAAATATGTCCCTAATATTTCTAGAAGACCATCACTTTTTCGAAAAAAAAAAAAAAAAAATATCACCATGTAAGAAGGGTTCACGAGCTGCTGCGGGCTGATATGTTCTTACATATCAGGTATCCATTGTGGTGAACGAGTATGACAAAGATGGTAAATGCAGAAGGGATGGAACTTAAATGATACTTTTATAACTGTGAAATGACATCTTCTAGGGTTTTAATGATTATCTCCTGAATTCAATCTCTCAACTATAATCTTGTTCCATTTCAACTTTATAATGTAACCTCTTCAAAACATAAAAAGTGATTTGAAAAGGTGACCTGTTTCACGTTGAGAACGATAACTTTTCACGTTCATCAGATGACATCTCATGGTTGAAATGTTTCATTCATAAATACTTGCATAACTGGATTTTTAATGGTGTATTTATAACTCATATTAAGTTTTTCAAATGATTTCAGTATCTACCTGAGGATCAATTTCAATGACAAATCAATGCTCTGGAAGTGTTTCAATAAAAACAACAAATGTTTGCCAGAGTAACCAGATTTAGCAACTTTCCAAAAGTACGACACGATTCCAAAAATATATCGATATGAGCTAGCTATAAAAATTAAACTTCAGGTTCTTCATAGTTTGGAAACGAGACTTTACTAAACTTATGGTGTCTCTTCAAAAGTGTCTAATTTGAGGCGCGAGCAATTAGAATAATGCAATCAGTTCCCAAAAAGAGATATAGCATAAAATAATTTCCTGATTTTTATGATGTGATTCTGATGACTGAAGGCCATTCAATGATAAACAAAACTCAATCCAAAGTGCGTTCGGTTATTCCTTCTGATTAACACATGTTTGGAAAAAAAAGCTACAGAATGAACCGCTCATCTACTCCCAAATACAAGGGTGCATATCGACGGTCATCTCACGTAGTGACGTATCTCAGTTTTCCTAATTTCACAGCAGAGCAGTTCAAAGATTTTCAACATCTTAATTAGCTCATATTTCAGAGGGTTGTTCATGAAAGATCATTATTTTTACATTTATCAGTGGATGAACTGGAACTAGTTGTCATGATATGGTGAGATTTCGAAAAAGCATCCCCAAAA